AAACACACAAAGTCACCAGCAACACAAATAATAAACGCTATACATCTACGCGCTGTGGCGCTAAATGCACCGCGCACAACACGAAATAAAGCCACGTGGTGGTGGTGGTCATCGCGCACGCCACGGTGACGAGCGAGCGCTTCAGAAGGTGAATACCACGAGGGTGCCGTCCACGCTGCTACAGAGAGGGGCTTGTCCGGCCCCCCAGCGTTCGAAGAAGACGCGCACATCACCGGCATGTGAGAGAGAGAGAGAGCTGGAAACAGAGAGAGAAAGAACGATAAAGAGAGAACAACTAAAATAGCTCAGTTGGGGGGGGGGGCGGGGGGGCATTACCCTTACCCTGGTGAAAATTTAGTAAAACATTTTTGTTACCCCGCAGAAACATTCACCCGACAGCGCCACCTCTGGGGGCCAACCTGCCGATCGGAGACCGCCTTCAGAGATTCGCGGTTCGCTGTTTGGGAGGGAATTTCTTGGGGGGGGGGGTGAGGGTTTTTTTTGTTTGTGGCGCATATCTCGGTCCCCGTTCAGACATCACAGGAAGGATGAGAGATGAGAGAGAGAGAGAGGAGTTGATGAAAGGAGATGGAGGAGGTGGTGGTGGTGACGATTGGGAATTAGCACTCGCACCTGCGTGCGTGCGGCGTATGAAATCCGAGGCAGCACACAGCACAGCCAACGTTCCTGAACCGGTTTCTGGGTCCTCGCCTCCCCCTAAGTCGACTCAGCCTCAAATGAGTACTGCCCTGCCCCCCACCCACTCCCATAGGTCTACTCAGCCTCAAATGAGTACTGCCCTGAAAACAGCGCTTGCCCCAACGCTCTCTTGAAGGCTATAAGGGTGGTGGGGGGGGGGGGGGTGTGATAGTCATCTCCTGAACCGGCATTGGCAATTCCACGTTCATACGACGGGGCCGAGTGGATCCCACGGGAAGTCCGTCTGTTACCCTTCTGTAGAACGTGGGCGCTGTGATATCAGCTGAGTGTGGGGGGAGGTGGGGGTTGGGGTATTGGTGGTTGGGTGTGTGGGGGGAGGTGGGGGTTGGCGTATTGGTGGTTGGGTGTGTGGGGGGAGGTGGGGGGAGGTGGGGTAGAGAGGGGAGGGGGAGATAGTGGGGGGGGGGGGGGAGAGATGATACGAGAAATTGAATACAAAGAGTAAATTCAAACGCGGGATGACATGAACACGAGAAAGGCGAACTTCTAAATAGATGCCCCAGGATGAAAGAGAGAGAGAGAGAGAGAAAGAATAAGAAGGCGAAACAATAATTAAATTGTTCTGAAAGGTCACCCTGTTAGTTGTGTTAGAGATGTGACGCGCGCGTGCATGTTGCGATACGCACGCAAGGACCGACGCACACACACACACACCGACACACACACACCGACACACACACGCGCTGGCATCATACCAAATAAATAGGGGTGCTCAACGTTGGAGCGATGTGGCCATTCAGCACCTCGGACCGCGAGGACCTTCGTCGGGACCAGAGCGGACACGGGGCCCGACTCGGGGAGCGGAATCTCTGGAGGCCAGGCAAGGCAAGGCACCCCCCCCCCCCCCCTCGTTCGTTCGTGAGCACACGCACGCCACACACATATATACACACACACACACACATATACACGCACACATACACACACATATAAACAATATACAAGACCAGGATTCCTCTCCTGTAGGAGCAAGTGCTGTTAGCGGGTAGCACCCACACACCTACACATTCACACACACTAGACACGGATTCCTGCCCTGTAGGAGCAAGTGCTGTTAGTGAGTAGCACCCATACACCGACACATTCACACACACACACAAAGACAGAGATCCCCCGTGTAACCTGTAACAGACTGTTGGGGCAAGTGCTGTTAGTGAGTAGCACCCATACACCGACACATTCACACACACACACAAAACGACAGAGATCCCCCGTGTAACCTGTAACAGACTGTTGGGGCAAGTGCTGTTAGTGAGTAGCACCCATACACCGACACATTCACACATACACACATAAAGACAGAGATCCCCCGTGTAGCCTGTAACAGACTGTAGGGGCAAGAGCTGTTAGCGAGCACCTATGAAGGCCGGCACGGCACACGAGGGAGTGGGTGGCCAGCACCACGCCCGACCGCCTTTGTCTCCCCAGTGGCGATGTTTAGACACCGCACCAGGTACTCATTATAGGCTGAGTCGACCTAGGGGAGGCCCAGGACCGGTTCAGATAATCGTCACTGGTGTTAGCTGTGAGCGGGAATCGAACCCGGGTCGCCAGGTTTATAGCGCAGCGCGCTAACCGCTACACTACCGCTCCCCATAAAATAAACACTCATACACACACACACATATATACACACACACACATATAAACAATATACAAGACCAGGATTCCTGCCCTGTAGGAGCAAGTGTTGTTAGCGGGTAGCACCCATACACCGACACATTCACATACACACAGACATAAAGACAGAGATCCCCCGTGTAGCCTGTAACAGACTGTTGGGGCAAGTGCTGTTAGCGAGCGCATATGAAGGCCGGCACGGCACACGAGGGGGTGGGTGGCAAGAATCACGCCCGGCCGCCTTTGTCTCCCCAGTGACAAAGTTTGTACACCACACCAGGTACTCATTTGAGGTTAAGTCGACCTAGGTGAGGCCCAAGACCGGTTCAGATATAATTGTCACCGGGTGTTGGCCGTGAGCGGGAATCGAACCCGGGTCGCCAGGTTCATAGCGCAGCGAAGCGCTAACCGCTACACCACCGCTCCCCACTACACACACACACACACGCACACACGTACACACACACACACGTACACACACACGTACACACACACACGTACACACACACGTACACGCACACACACACACGTACACACACACGTACACACACACACACACGTGCACCTATCACTGGCGAGGGTACAAATTGGAAACAAAGCATCGAGAAGTCGTTCACCTGTCCAGGTAAGTTCTGACTCTTACAAATATGTGTGAATTTGTGTGTGTAGGTATGTGTGTATGTGTTTGTGTATTTGTGTGTGTGTCTGTGTGTGTGTGTTTGTGTGTGTATTTGTGTGTGTATTTGTGTGTGTATTTGTGTGTGTTTATTTGTGTGTTTGTGTATTTGTATTTGTGTCTTTGTATTTGTGTGTGTGTGTATGTATGTATGTATTTGTGTGTGTATGTATGTGTGTGTGTCTGTGTGTGTGTATTTGTGTGCGTGTGTATTTGTGTTTGTGCGTGTGTATTTGTGTGTGTATATTTGTGTGCGTATGTATTTGTGTGTGTATGTCTGTGTGTGTATTTGTGTGTGTATGTCTGTGTGTATTTTTGTGTATGCATTTCTATGTGTGTATTTGTGTGCGTGTGTATTTGTGTGCGTGTATATTTGTGTGTGTATTTGTGTGTGTGTATTTGTGTGTATTTGTGTGTATTTGTGTGTGTGTTCGATTCCTGCTCACGGCCAACACCACAGGTGACGATTATCTGTACCGGTCCTGAGCCTCCCCCAGGTCGACTCAGCCTCAAATGAGTACCTGGTGTGGTGGGTCGTAAACATCGCCACTGGGGAGACAAAGGCGGCCGGGCGTGGTGTTGGCCACCCACTCCCTCGTGTACCGTGCCGGCCTTCATAGGTGCTCGCTCACAGCCCTTGCCCCGACAGTCTGTTAGAGGCTACACGGGGGATCTTTGTCTTTGTCTCCTTCATAGGTGCTGCTGCTACTCGCTAACAGCACTTGCCCCGACAGTCTGTTAGAGGCTACACGGGGGATCTTTGTCTCCTTCATAGGTGCTGCTACTCGCTAACAGCACTTGCCCCGACAGTCTGTTAAAGGCTACACGGGGGATCTTAGTCTCCTTCATAGGTGCTGCTGCTACTCGCTAACAGCACTTGCCCCGACAGTCTGTTAGAGGCTACACGGGGGATCTCGGGTCGCCAGTTTCGTAGCGCAGCGTAGCGCTAACCGCTGCACCACCGCTCCCCAACATACACACAGACATACACACACACACGTGTACACACACACACACACGTGTACACACACACACACGTGTACACACACATGCATACTCACCTGATGATGATGATGAGTCCGCACTTCGTTGAGCTATCATTTGCTGCTTCTGATAGAGAGAGCTACGAAAATTCATAGTTCGGTTTATTCAAATCAAGATTCGGTTTATCGGTCCAGGAAAGCCACTCTGAGTCGCCTTGACACATTTTTAAGGAGGATCTTGCCGCATACCGAAATTCTCTTTTTTTAAAATTCGTGAGATGTTTTCAGCCAATTAATGATGACGAGTCGCGTGTACTAAAACCCATGTTTCGTGCGACAGAGCAAACACTCCATCCCCGTACAGATGGGGAACAGATGGCGATTAGTCCAGCTTGCTGTACCGCCTTCTCCTGTGGGGGGGGGGGTGCGTCGTATAATCCGGTAATGCTCGTGTTAAGGCTGAGTCGACCTAAGGGAGGGTCAGGCGCCTCTGTTGAGATGTTTCCGCTGACGCAAAGCGGGTGGCCCGGTTCACGACGTGGTGGTGTGCTAATCACTGCGCCACCGCTCTTTCTCTTATCCTCCTACTCCTCATCCCCGCACGCGCACACGCGCATACTCACGCACACCCACACACGCACTCGCACGTACACTCACACACACGTACACTCACACATTCACACGCACACACGCACTCGCACGTACACTCACACACGTACACACTCACACACGTACACACTCACACACTGCACACCCACACGCGTACACACACGCGCACTCGCACGCATACCCACACACGTACACACTCACACACGTACACTCACACACGTACACTCGCACATTCACACGCATACCCACACACGCATTCGCACGTACACTCACACACTCGCACACACGTACACTCACACGCACACACGTACACTCACAGACTCGCACTCGCGTACTCTCACACACTCACACTCTCACACACTCACACATTCACACAGGCGTACACACACACGCGTACACACACGCGCACACTCACGCACATTCACACATGCGTACACACGCACGCACGCGTACAGACACACACACACACGCGCAGCCCACCTTTCACCACAACCCATAGCCACCACCACCACCACCCACCACCCCACCACCAACCAACCACCAAGCATGCGCACCCAGGTTCGACTCCCGATGCGAGCTCAGAGCCAGCCGCAGCCTCCTGCTCCTCCTCGGCTGATGACCGCCCTGCTGATGACTGCGATGCTGCTGATGAGCGGTGTCGTGGAAGCGTCGTTCGCCTCGCTGCAGCAGCAGCAGCGGGCGAGGCAGCTGGTGGCGGAGCTGGAGGGGTCCCTGGCAGGCACGCTGGAGTTGATGGCTGGCCCTGCGAACCCGACGGAACAGCAGCAGCAGCAGCAACAGCAGCAACACAGCGACTACGGTGTCAAGTTGTGTGGCAGGGAGTTCATCCGCGCCGTGATCTACACGTGCGGAGGGTCTCGGTGGAGGAGGGCCAGGCAGCCGTGGGTCGGTGCGGCTGAGAGCTGGGACGGTGAGAGAGACTTTTGACTTTTTAAACAACTTTTATTGGCGCCGGCAGCCACAGCGCTGGAGGCGATTCCGATGTGAAATACACAAAGTCGCCAGCAAACGCAAATAAGCAAACGCTATAAACTATACTCTTTGGTTTTTTTCGGTAAAGTCACGTAGGTAAAAAAATAAAATTAAAATTAATTAAATCACGACGTTTCGGAGGCAACACAAGCTTCCGTCTTCAGGTGGCACCGTCACAGCAAAAATACTTTATCATTGATTACTGTATCAATTGATTGCAATCGTCACCGGTGTTGGCCGTGAGCGGGAATCGAACTCGGGCCGCCGGGTTGGTAGCGCAGCTGCGTTAACCACTGGGACACCGCTCCCCCCACCCACCCCCCACGTACAAAGACAAAATCCCCCGTATAGCCTTAACAGACTGTAGGGGCAAGTGCTGTTAGCGAGCAGCAGCACCTATGTAAGCCGGAACGGCACACGAGGTGGTGGGTGGCCAGCACCACGCCCGACCGCCTTTGTCTCCCCAGCGGCGATGTTTACTACACACCGCACCAGGTATTCATTTGAGGCTGAGTCGACCTAGGGGAGGCCCAGGTACCAGTTCACACAATCGTCACCGGTGTTGGCCGTGAGCAGGAATCGAACTCGGGCCGCCGGGTTGGTAGCGCGGCTGCGCTAACCGCTGCGCCACCGCTCCCCCCACCCCCCACGTACGCACACACACACCACACACACACACCACACACCGACGCACGGACATTCACGCGTGGCTTAACATTAATCAACTGCTTTAGGTCAGGGTCAGAGGCTGGCGAGTGACTCACGCAGAGTCAAACGGTGGCCAGCGAGGTTGTCACGCTCCGTGTCCAAGCCTCGCCTCGGCTTGGCCGTGCGTGGGCTCCTTGATGAGCCGCGGCGGGAGAGACGCGAAGGGCCAACACCGCCGACAGCCGTCAAGCCCCCTGGCTCTCTCTCTCTCTCTCTGGCTGGCTCTTATTCGATCTCGTGGGGTTCCATCGTGGCGTCCGCGGTGGCCAGGAGATGTTAACTACCTCGCCTGGTATACAGAAGGTGCGTGGGCTCCATCCCGACCCTAACGCCTGCTGCTGTATATTTGGAGTTTGCGTCTCTCTCTCTCTCTCTGTCATCATCATCACGGTGGCTAGGAGATGTTAACTCCCTCGCCTGGTATACAGGAGGTGCGTGGGCTCGATCCCGACCCTGAAACCTGCTGTATATTTGGAGTTTGCGTCTCTGTCTGTCATCATCATCACGGTGGCTAGGAGATGTTGACTACCTCGCCTGGTCTACAGGATGTGCATTTATTTGTGTATCGTTTGCGCATGGAGAACTCGTCGTTATGGGACGGCATCTGCACGAACGAAAATGAAATCATCATCGTCATCATCATCACACGAGTGGGGGGGGGGGGGGTGTCTCTTTGTCGCGTGTTTGTTCCAGGGCTGTCCGACTCCGAGCTGGACCAGGACGAGGGAGTGGCCAGAGAATTGGGGGGGGCTGCCATCGCGGGGGGCCCCCCCGAACCCCCCCCGTGGTGGATCTCGGCGCCGTCGATGAGTCGACAGAGGCGAGACTCGGCTGGCGGCATGGGAGGGGGCCCCGGGGGGGTCCCTCAAGCCATGGGGCTGGCGGGGCTCTGCTGCAAATGGGGGTGCTCCAAGGGGGACATCAGCACCCTCTGCTGAACATCGGCACCATCGCCAGGATCATCATCATCACCATGGACATCGCCATCATCATCAACATGGACACCATCATCATCACCATGGACACCGTCGTCATCATCACCATGGACATCATCATCATCGACAGGGACACCATCATCATCATCATCGACAGGGACACCGTCATCATCATTGCTACCACCACCATCATCATCAGGGTCGTCCATAGTAGTGGCCTTCAAACTAAACCGCCATGGACATCATCATCATCACCATGGACATCATCATCATCGCCATGGACATCGTCATCATCATCATGGACATCATCATCATCACCATGGACATCGTCATCATCATTGCTACCACCACCACCATCATCATCAGGGTCGTCCATAGTAGGGGCCTTCAAACTAAACCGCCCCCCGCCCCCCCAAAGCGCCGTCTCCCTGATGATGACCACCACCACCATCATCATCATCCTCCTGCTCGTCGTCGTCGTAATCACTCACTATTTGTCGGCTGCGCTTGGAGAGCCGGGGGGGAGGGTCTTTTATCGGCTGCCGGCGTCTTGCACTCAAAGCCGTGAGCGCACGAGCGAGCAGGTCACGCGGTTGAGTCCGTGGACACTCCTCGAACGAATAAAAATGAGCCTTATGGCAGGACCCCGGGGTCCCATAAGCGCCCCCCCCTCCCCCCCGGCTCTCGCATAAACTGCGTTGCGACTTCGTTTGACGTCTTTTGAAGGCGAACGACACTGCGATCTGTTCTTCTCGACGAGCTCAACACGATGCGCTGACTAAACGTTTCAAAGTTCTGTTCATGACGACGGCAAATTTTTGGCCTACGGTGTGTGCTCGGTGAGGAACGGGAGGGGGTCGATTTCTGGTGGGTCGCGGCGTTGATGTTGCGCGGTGAGACGGAGTCGCAAACAACAAATAAATTACTTCAATTGCGATCTTGACTTCCATTTATTCGGGACCCCGGGGTCCCGCCATGAGGTCCATTTATTGTCGTTCTCCCCGCAGCCTCCTCCACGCGCCTCACCCGGTCCCCGCTAGCAATGATCCTGTTGTAGTGTTGTACAGACGGACTCTTCAACGTCTTTTGTAGCACACACTTTTATTCGTCTTATGAACACAGTCCCTATGCACTGAGGGGTATACGGTCCCCTCACCCGTTACACTCAGAACGTACAAGCCTCCGCACCCTACAGGCTACTTAATATCCCGCTCTTTCAATGTCCTCTGACTGGACCTAGGGAGATGTCTCCCCGACCACTGGTTACACTGAACCCTAGCCCTTATAAGGGCTGGAGGGCTTGGTCCAGGGTCCTAGGCTTCTTCCGCCGTCTTGGGTCTTCGTGTAGTCGAACTCCCCGAGAGCTCTGAGCGCTTTGGCTTTATACCTGTTCGTGGCCGGGTTGTCCAATCCCCGGCCACCTTGTGGAACCCTGTGATTGGTCGTTCCCAATCTGCTTTTCGATCCCAATTCACCCTATCTGACCCTGACCGTTTGGTGGCGCGGGAAAACCTTGTTTACGGTCAGCTCTCACAGCTTGTGAGACCCTGACCGTTAGTTTGAGCGGGAAAACCTTGTTAACGATTTGCTCTCCCAGTTTGTGAACATCGAGTAGTTAACTCTACTACACTGTGAAGAAGAAGTTTTGGCCGGGTTTTGTTTTTTTTTGGGTTAAAATAAAACATTCTGAGGATTAAAAAACAAACCTACAAGGTGGGGCTGCGTGGGCCTTGCGGGAACATCGGTGTGGACTCTTCACCCGGCTGGAATCGGGTGGCTGGGAGATGTTGACTACCTCCCCTGGTGTACAGGAGGTCGTGGATTCGATCCCGACACTGACGACGCCTGCTGCTGCTGTATATTTGGAGTTTGCGTGTAAATATATATATAAACAAAGACACAGATCCCCCGTATAGCCTTAACAGACTGTCGGGGCAAGTGCTGTTAGCGCCTATGAAGGCCGGCACGGCACACGAGATGGGTGGGTGGCCAGCACCACGCCCGGCCGCCTTTGTCTCCCCTAGCGGCGACGTTCACTCCACCCCGCAACAGGTTACTCATTTGAGGCTGAGTCGACCTAGGGGAGCAGGGCCCAGGAACCGGATCCAAATAATCGTCACCGTGGTGTGGGCGGCCGTGAGCGGGAATCGAACCCGGGTCGTAGCCAGTTTCACAGCGCAGCGTAGTGCTGACCTCTACACTAACGCTGCCCACAGCATATATATATTGACACCAAGGCCGTATCTTCTTGGTTGTTTCGGTAAAGTCACGTAGAAGGGAAATAATGAAATAATAAAATAAAACATAATAAAATCATTCTCACGACGTTTCGGCCACAACGCAAGCAGCCGTCTTCAGGTGAAGAACAGGACGCTGTCTTTCCGACAGACCTGTTCTTCACCTGAGGACGGCTGCTTGCGTTGTGGCCGAAACGTCGTGAGAATTATTTTATGATGTTTTATTTTTATTATTTTATGATTTCCCTTCCACGTGACTTTACCGAAAGAACCAAGAAGATGAATCCCTGCAGTCACGAAAGCTTTAAATAAAACATAATAAATTATTTTAGAATGTTTTATTTTTATTATTTTATTATTTCCCTTCCACGTGACTTTACCGAAAGAACCAAGAAGATGAATCCCTGCAGTCACGAAAGCTTTAAATCGAAAAATAAAAACCAAGGCCGTAATTATAATATATTTTGGGGGGGACACATTCCCCCCAATATTCAAATATGCTCAAAATGCCCCCCCCCCAATATGTTTCTATAATATAGATTTATGTTGATATGATTGTGGTTATGGTTGTACTTTATAAATCCCTAATCTCTGCCATGACATACAATGAAACAAGAAAAGTTAAAAGAGAAAAAAACAGAGCAATGTAATACAATACACTATCAGACATTATTGTTACAAATAAATAAAAAGTCAATCCCATGTGTTAGTGAATTTTTTTATATTTTAGGCAGGAAATTAGTTTTCAAATTTAGATTATTTTTTTCTGGGTGGGACCCCCCAGACCCCGTGGAAGATTTGGGCCCCCCCCCCCCCCAATGTTGACTGCATGGCTACGGCGTTGATTTACACACACAGGTGATGTGGTGTGCCGGGACTATGGACGTATCAATCATTCGGCTCTGCAGCAGGCGATCGACGCCACTGAGGGAGCCAGCCGCGGCCCGCGTCAACTAAGACGACATTCTATTTCTAAGTTCACTAGCTTTGTTTCTCTTTCATTCGTACCTGATGATGATTGCTTGTGTTGCAATCGAAACGTCGCATGCTATTATTTAACTATTATTTTCTCTTTCTACGTGACTTTACCAAAATAACCAAAGAGTAATTCCTGCAGTCACGAAAGCTCCAAATAAAGTTTTACAAACTACAACTTTTATTTTTACTTCACTAGGTGACCGCCCCACCACTGAGCCGCTACCTGTAGGGCAGGGGTGTCCAAACTTTTTGCAAAGAGGGCCACATTTGATAAAGTGAAGATGCCCGGGGGCCAATAGTTCCTTCTGACATTGTTTTAACCACAAAAGTTACGTGGAAATACACGCTGTTATAAAACTATTTCCATCGTCACAATTACCTTTATTTTTCAAATGACAATGTAACCAAATATAAGCCACTCAGGCAGACGGGAACAACTCTACAAACGCAATTCTGCCTTTCATTCAGTCAGATAACATTGAACAAACTGTATAGAATACCTTCAATTTCCATGAGTTGTATGATGTATTTATTCTGACAGAGCTGGCGAGCCATAACTAACACGTTATAAGACCGAAGCTGCGGGCCGTATGAAATCTGCCCGCGGGCCGTGATTGGCCCGCGGGCCGGACTTTGGACATGCCTGTTGTGTAGGGAGTAGCTCTAGTTCAGAAGCGACCCGGCTGTCACGAATTATAGATCGGAGATAGTTGGCGGCTCATCATCGTCGTCGTCGTCGTGTGGATGTTTATATCGGCGGCCAAATAACTCCACACGTACACGTTCATTCTAAGCGTGGAGGGGAAAAACACGGGGAGGATTCCGGATAAAAATCCACGGGGCGAGAGAGACACGCAGACTCCACACTTACAGCAGCAGGCGTCAAGGTCGGGATCGAACCCACGACCTCCTGTATACCAGGCGAGGTAGTTAACATCTCCTAGCCACCGTGATGATGATGAGAGAGAGAGACACGCAGACTCCACACTTAGAGCAGCAGGCGTCAGGGTCGGGATCGAACCCACGACCTCCTGGGTAACAGGCGAGGTATTTAACATCTCCTAGCCACCGTGATGATGATGAGAGAGAGAGAGACACGCAGACTCCACATATACAGCAGCAGGCGTCAGGGTCAGGACTGAACCCACGACCTCCTGTACACCAGGCGAGGTAGTTAACATCTCACCACAGGGAGAGAGAGAGACACGCAGACTCCACATATACAGCAGCAGGCGTCAGGGTCAGGAGTGAACCCACGACCTCCTGTACACCAGGCGAGGTGGGTAACATCTCACCACAGGGAGAGAGAGACACACAGACGGTACAATAGTTGCACGTTGCTGATGCTGGTGCTCAGTGAAGTCCTCGCGGTAGACGCATTCCTGAAAATTGTCGCGTTCGGCGAAAACGATTTCCCCACAAATAAATCATGTAATATGTGACAATGAAAAGTTTGTCGAGACACGGCGCACTACCACCACCACTACCACCACCACTACCACCACTGTCACCATCACTACCACCACCACTACCACCACCACTACCACCACTACCACCACCACTACCACCACTGTCACCATCACTACCACCACCACTACCACCACCACTACCACCACTGTCACCATCACTACCACCACCACTACTACCACCACTACCACCACCACTTCCACCACCACTACCGCAACTACCACCACTACCAACACCACCACTACCACCACCACTACCACCACCACTACCACCACTGTCACCATCACTACCACCACCACTACCACCACCACTACTACCACTATCACCATCACTACCACCACCACTATCACCATCACTACCACCACCACTACCACCACTGTCACCATCACTACCACCACCACTACCACCACCACTACCACCACTATCACCATCACTACCACCACCACTACCACCACCACTACCACCACTGTCACCATCACTACCACCACCACTACCACCACTGTCACCATCACTACCACCACCACTATCACCATCACTACCACCACCACTACCACCACTGTCACCATCACTACCACCACCACTACCACCACCACTACCACCACTATCACCATCACTACCACCACCACTACCACCACCACTTCCACCACCACTACTGCAACTACCACCACTACCAACACCACCACTACCAACACCACTACCGCAACTACCACTACTTGCACCACCACTACCACAACTACCACCACTACCACAACTACCACCACTACCAACACCTACTACTGCAACTACCACCACTACCAACACCACCACTTCCACCACCACTACCACAACTACCACTACTACCAACACCACCACTACCAACACCACTGCCGCAACTACCACCACTACCAACACCACCACCACCACCGTCGCCGCGTCACCGCGTATCACTCCGCGTCACCGTGTCAGCGGCGCAGCTCGAGAAAGTAGTTCGTCGTCGAGGCGCTCGTAAAACCGCGTTATAACGAGGGGGGGGGGTGCGTTCCGCGTTATAACGGTGGAGGGGGGGGATGCGTTCCGCGTTATAACGAGGGGGGGGGATGCGTTCCGCGTTATAACGGGGGGGAGCGGGGGGTGGGCCGCGTTATAACGGGGGGAGGGGGGGGGGATGCGTTC